GAACCTATCGGATCTGAAACAGAAAAAAACCGAGAGTAGTCAAAAGCCGAAAGCTTATTTCCAAGGAGAAAGACGACCTTCTCCCCCAGCGACCAAATAGGACCCTACGCTGGGGGTTCCAACCTACGTGTCCTAACTGGCATTGATAAGTCTGTATGATTTTCAAAAGACTCGAGCAAAACTGGTACTGCCCGTATGGGATTGCTGTATCTGGGTCCCCCGGGAGCTCTTTTCCCGCTGAGGTTCAGGCCGTCTTCGTCCCTGTTATGGTAATCCCAGCTTTCCACAAGGAATTGTTCAAGTTAGCGCCATCCAGTCTAATCGATTTAGTGTTCGTTTTTCGTTCCCCGATTTAAAAAGGAACCAAAAGCCGCTCACACCATTTCATGCGATTAGAAGGAATTCGATAACCATTAGCCGCAACCAGATCTGCCAGCGCTACAAGAGCTAAGCATTCTCGGCTTGTCAGCGCTACACGCTCATTCTTAGCTCCCAAGGTATCCCAAAATCGTGCTGCAATAAAGTGGATTTCCAAATTATTCACTGGTTTTTTCAACATTTAGAGCTAGGTGCATCGTCACTGAACATTTCTCGTCATGAAGTGGGCAGCACATCCACCAGAACCTGGTGCAGAGGGTATCTTATTCACGTCCATCGGGTCATGATGTCTCCAGAGCGAGCTTCTCAGCCAGAAATGACTTACCGTGAGCGAAAGTCGTTGGGTACAAAGACTCTGGCATGAGTCGACGTCAACGTTGATGATGCGATCAAGTTCGTTCTCCAACTGTTTACCCTCAACTGCGATGTACTGTGTGATATACGGTGCATAGCATTGAGCTGAAATCGATTTAATCAATAACGATCCCGCCAAATGATCCTCACTAGGGGAAATCTCCCTGAACTCACATCCAGCACAATTGTTGTCCATGTAGTGACCATGTCAGATTGACTAGTAGATGACTTTGTCTTCGGCTTCGTCAGCAAACAAATCAGGCCTGAAATGATTTCTCTGTAATTTAATAGGCAGAGACCCACAGAATGTTTTAGGGCAAATTCCGCGATAATCGAACGGGCGGAGTCTCATAAGTTTTGCCTGCTCTTCATCAGCGCACCTGGCCTTTTGAAATGATTGAGCGGTAAGGAAGCTACAATGGTTATGAATCTTCACCCTTTCTCCGCCCACCGACTATCGCGGAATGGGTCTTCAACATGGGGTGGTCAGAAAGGGCGCCAATCAAACCAATCAATACCTGTCTAGGCGATCTTCGGTGTTCAGAATGCATTCCTGATCGACTGGGTAGAACATTGCCGACTCGCATTCGAAACCGAATGTGTCGAAAGAGTTTAGACAAGCGCTCATGCAAACCTGGAAACGAAGATTTCAGTATGACCGGCTGGTCTGTCCTCAATAGGGCCCCATCTCTCACTGAGTCCCTGCTCTGCAGCACTTCTCACCTGGATATTCTCAGCCGGCACGACCTCACGAGCGAAGCCGACGAGGATCTTTTGCTCGAACAAGTCGAAATGGAATGGCGATGAACAGACTCGTTCACTCTGAAATGCACTTGTGACTATCTACACCCTCCGGAATTCATGAATAAGACCCCACCTTGACACAATTCTTCATGAGCACCTTGGAACCCGGTGTTGGTGCTTCCTTACCGGGACCAAACACTTTACAATTTCCAAGTAAGAACTCGACTCCAACACAGTCCTAGAAATACAATTGACTCGAAGACGGTAAGTACGGTAATATTCGTGATAGGACCATTGTACCTACATTTGAGGCTGCGCAATGGTCAGAGCAATCGGCAAAAGCCGCAGTGGGCACGGCACGAATTTGTTTACCGATGGTGGCATTGCGTTGAAGTACGAAGACCGCTTGGGAACCGGTCGGACATTGTGATACGGAGGCTAAAAAGAGGGTAGATTATTAGGAAAGAGGTAAGCTGCTACCGTAATTCAACTAGTTTTTGGCCAGTTTTTGGCCGATTTTTTCCCCGTCGGCAGGAGTGGCTCGAAACTTGTCCACTGCGGTAATTTGACCTCCTGAACTAGTAATACCGTAATCCGCACTATTTACCCTTTACTGCCCCCAGTCTTCCGAAATCTGGCCAGTTTTTGACCGACTTTTTTCCCCGCCGGCAGGAGTGGCTCGAAACTTGTCCTCCTGGGTAGTTTGACCTCCTGAACATGAATATCACATCCGCTTGGCACAAACCTCCTGGCGCCCGCGCCACAGGCGCCGGCGCCAAAATACCCTAAATCACCAAATTCGCTGAAAACTTGTTCCCAGGGGTAGTCTGACCTCCTGAACACGAATATCACATCCGTTTGACCCAAAACCGTCTGGCTCCCGCGCTGCAGAGGTCGGCGGTGGCCAAAATACCCCAAATTATCAGCGCCAATGACGCGGATGCTAGGAGGTTTCGAGCCAAGCGGATGTGATATTTGTAATCAGGAGGTTAACTACCCGGGA